AACAGATAATTACATGGCCAATGTTGGAATTTTTACTACAAAGAAACCAAAAAATTAGTTTCTTTCTGACAATATACTAACTCATAACCTAAATTAAACTTTGACGCACAATTTCGTCGCCTTAGCTGTTCAGAGGTGGATATTATCAGAGCACGCTAAAAAATCACTATCTACTGATGTGCTGTGTACTTATCCCTGGGAAAGTTTTTAAAAGTCTACTGGTCTAATTTTCATTTCAGTTGATGAAGGAGCGCTGCCTTCGGCGCTGGTTCGAACTAACTCTGCCCAGTGAATATCTGCAGAGGTTTTACTTCCACAACGCGGATAAATACCATTGAGATTTGAAAAAACAGCACATTTAATACCGTCGCCATACCACCAGCCTCTGCCACTTCTTTGAGCACAATCAACAGGTTCTCTATCCCAGGTACCAAAAACGAGATTCCTGTGGGGACCGAGAGAATCAGAGGAAACAGTGGCATCTGTTTCAAAACAGAACAAAAGAAATTCGCATAATTCTAGGATCCGTATAATGCCTTTTTCAGCGGATAACTTGTTGTTAACCGCAAAAAAGGAAAATATTAAGGTTAGTAAGAACTGAGTTCCTTACGTGGCACAGATACCTAACTCCAGACCGAGTAAGAACCAATTAGGTTTACCTCAGGACTACTTTGCCAGCCTATAATACCATTACTCGACCAAGTAGAGTAAAGTATTGAGATTTAAATGAGAGAGAATTAATATATATAAATCGAATGATGAATGCTGAAAAAAAGGAAACCGTTAACTTACTTGTAATATTGCCAATGTATAGCCGGTACTTAGCTGTTTCGTTCCCAATCCCAAACCAGTCATACTCAGGGTGAACAGTTTTGCCAGTAGTTACCCCCAGATCTACCCGAAGCTTGTTCTTTGTCTTGTTTCGAGTCAGGCGGTTTATCTTGTCCAGTCCCAGCCAAAATTCACCGACCAAGTTACCGAAGCCATGTTTGTATTCGTTCCAGGTGCGGTTAAAATCAACGGAGCCATCCATTCTCTTCTGGATCACCGTCCATCCCCCGTTGGCTGTAGTTTGGTCACAATATACATTAAAAGCGCCTGAACCATCTGGGTCGATAGTGTAAACACCACTGATCCTTCGTCCGGATTTGTACAGCTCAGCACAGTTCCTAGCTGTTGTAGATAAATTAAAGATGCTTGACGTTTTGGGCATGCTCTCAAAGAGGGGGTTTGGTATGAATGTGCTTATATCATCCGAAGAAGTATCTGTCTTGGAGAGAAGACTACGGACTTGGATTCTTCATATATCTTTTATCTTTTAAAAGCGCATCAAATCATGAGATAAGAATAAAAATATTATTTAAAAAAAAAAAAAAGACAAATGACCAAAGATTCGAAAAAAGTTTAGAATATTTAAATTATTCTGTTGT